TATGCTGACTCTGTAAACCGCTTAGAGAGGGCTGAAAGCCCTATGAAGGGGTATATAAGTCTAACTGCTATTGCTATTGCTATGTCTTCATTGCTATAAAAAGTGGAAGGTATCTGTCAGTTACATTCTGATTTTTTTTAAAAAATAGACATAAAGTAGTTGTAACCAAACTTCCTGCAAAACAAATGTAGGATTTCCAAAGAATATAACCTGTATCTTTAGTGGATTAAAATTTCATTTGGCACATTATGTTCAGTAAAATATGAATGTGTTGCTTTAAAGTTTAATCCTAAATCTGGACAAAGATACATGAGAGGTGACAGAGCTTTATGCATAGATGTCCATGGAGGTCAGGCAATGAAATAGTAGCTCTAATTTCATTTAGTCACCTCCATTTGTGGGGCAGACCATGCTGAAAGCTAGTGGATTTGGAGAGCCTTGCTCTTTTTACACCGCTTAGGGATAGCTGCATTTCACATCTATCAAAGGCCATTCAGTGACCTAATACACACACACACACACACACACACACAGAGAGAGAGAGACAGAGAGACAGAGAGAGAGACAGAGAGACAGAGACAGAGACAGAGAGAGACAGAGAGAGAGACAGAGACAGAGACAGAGAGACAGAGTGTAATCAGACAAAGAGGCCTCAAAATCCAAAATTACCCTTAAGTCCTTTGGTCTTCTTCTTCCAGCCAGATTTTCTGATCATTCTACCAATCCCCAGATAAAAGCATCTTCTTCCTTAATAGTGTGGAAATCAATAAAGATTTGGTTGTTCTGCAGAACTAAGAATGATCAGAATGCTTACCCTGGAATGCCTGATGAGTGCTATAGAATTAGGACTATAGCTGATTTCTCACTAAATTTACAGAGGCTACAATCTCACAAAGGTTGGTATCCAAAATATACTCCATCAGGTGGCACAGCTTTGTTTCCTTGATAGGGTGATTGGGTGGTTTTTTAAAAAAATCTTTAAAAATGACAAAATAGGAAATCACAGGTTTGAATAAATTTGTTTAGACTGTCTCCTTCAGGCTTGAATGATGACATGAGGATTTGTTTCAAAGTCCTTTCTCAATCCCCAAAGGAAGTTTGCACCCCTAACTGTGAAGAGATCATACATATTTACTGACAAGGATTGAAATCAGATCAGCATTGAGCTACCTAAGTTTCAATGAACCGATCATATTATTCAGTAGACATTTAAAAACCCAGCATTTCTCTAAATAATTTGAACTACAACCCTAATCACTTCAACTCATTGACCATGATTCTGGGAATGATGAAGTCTGTAATCTTAATCATCTCCAGGACTACTTATTGGGAAAGGCTAGCTTAATCTATATTAATAGCAGGTGAATAAAACTATTTCCATCCTGGCCAGACCTTTGAAAAAAGCAACAACCATGGAAATGGTGATGTTTAAATAAACTGAACTAAATGTAGCATCAAAGTTTGCCTACTTCTATCACAAATACACTCTCCATTAATGAATATATTATAATCTTTTATTTACTGTAGGAAGTGGTGACAAGTGTTTAGCATTTTGGAGATCACTTGTCAGTTGCTATTAAAATCAAGATTAATTCATATTAACGATATGCATTCTCAGTTCTCCCAAGTGACAATATGCATTAAAACAAGTATTGCAAGTAATTAAATTCAATACATGGGGTCAAATATTTTTAAAAGCAGTATTTAAACTCTAAAGTTCATTTGAGAAACATGCATTAAATTCAGGTCATCTTGTTAGTTATCAGTACATTAGGGATTTGAAAGTTTTATCTTAAATCTTTTGGGAAAATTTGAGGAAATATAATTGTTTTGCTTTTATTTTTCAATGTTTCCTTCAATTTAAGTACTAAATGGTTCTTTATTTTAAAATTCTATATCTGTAACCAAATAAACAACTTCCCTGTCAGATCACTATAACTATGAGCATGCCAGCTATTTTTTCCTTGTTTTTAGCTCTCCCTTCTAAATTTATTTTAAATATAATACAGTGAAAATACAAAAATATTAACTGTGGATTTTTATTAGGCTTTTGAGATGTTCAGTAGTTTAGTCTAATTAGACAAGCCAAAAGCCTTTTGGAGATTAAGCAAATTGGACAACCCTTGTTAATTAGAACATAATTTAAAATTTGAAATTATATCACTGATAAAGTAGTCTAATTAGCATCACAATATGGTAATAGCCTACCAAGACAGCCATGTGGAAGGCTGTATGAACTCCTTAAAGGCTTGCAAGAATCTGTTTCCTTTCTATGATGTCATTAATAAAAGATTTCTATAGACTTCAGGCTTTCAATGGGTACATACAATTTATAGTACACACAATGCATTAGCCCATACTGTGGCTTCTTCTTCTTCTTCTTCTTCTTTTTTTTTTACTATTATGAAAACTAATAAATTCGTCAAGCTGAATTAAGCATACAAATCAGATGAGGCATAACAGATTACATATTGAAGCACCGTGTCTCCGGAGCCTAAATGAAATTTCAATCTAATAATTCCTTCCTGGCCCGGCCATAATTTGTTTAGAGATGTTGTTCCACTCCTTTCCAAGCGCTGTTCGCACAATAATTAAATGATACTCAAGCTTTTAACTTTGATTTATTTCATTTCACTGAGCTGGCGACAGTGAGAGCTGATACAATGGATTTTCATTTATATATTTATTTCCTTGAAAATTACGAAGCCTACAGTCTGGGGTGAGAAACTCACTGAAGCTGCCTGGTATGAAATTAAAGAAAAAGAGGAGGGGGACGAGAAGAGGGAAGAAAAGAGTCTACCGCACTGAAATTAAAAATAGCGCAGAAACATAAGATTGGGCTAAATAGGTTCAAAGAGACCGGCATTCTGCCTCACGCAGAAGCCAATTGGATATATTTGGAAAGACCACAAGCGTGGAATCTTGCACTGTTCCAGCAACCAGGTCTTAAAGTATCCATGATTCAGAAGGTTCTAAACAGCCATCAAAGCAATAGCGTCTCTACGGTTTTAGCAGATACACCTCCGAACCCCACGGATATTTTAAAGACGGAGCCCAACCGTCATTACCTTAATAGCCCTAAAAACTTGTTTAGTTTTGAAAACAGAAATTCTGAACCTAAGCGTGGCTTGCTTCAGGCGTAGTTCATGAAGTACTAAGCCGTCAAACTGCAGAAGAGTTGCCCAAGGAAACCTGCATACTGTAGGTGAGGCGTTCAAATTCCCCCAGCGTTGCCGTCAGCTTGAAGCGTTCCAGTGAAAAGCTTGGGGATTCCTTGCAGAAAGGCATAAGGCCAAGCTGGGAAGCACAGATAATAATAATAATAATAATAATAATAATAATAATAATAATAATAATAATATCCTGGCGGTTGACAAGAACCATCAGCGATCTTAGCTGCAGCAGTTAGTCCTCCTACCCGCCGCCACCGAGCGGCTCCTCCCGCAACAGCTCCTGCCCTTTAAAGCACCCACAGCGAGACAAAGGTTGACGGGCGTGGGAGTGATTGAAGAACAGGAGCAGCGGTGGCGGCGGCCACTCGCTCCGGCGCGCGCCCACCGGAGAAAGGGGCAGCAGCCGGCAGCAGAGAGAGCAAACTCCCAGGAGCCCGCGCGGCAGAATAAAATCGGGCGCCGGCAGCAACTTACCCGGCTTGTGCCAGCCGCTCACTCGGACAGCGCCATGTGCGGGGTGTGGGGTGGGGTGGGGAAGGCGGTGAGGAGTCCTCCCCGCTGCATCTGCGCAATGGGGTCCCTTAGGGCATCTCTTCCCCCGCGCCCCCTTTCTAATTTCAGAGCTGTGGCTATTGAATGACGGCCATTCGAAATGAAAGGCTTTCAGAATTTCTCCATACCCCATTTCTGCGTTTCGCTCTAACCCGTGGACGAATGTTCCCCTCAGCCGTGTCACCCTTGCTCCGCATCGCCCTTCCCCATACTGGGGTCGTCTATAAGTACTTGGCGTTCATTCCCTCCCGCCCATCGCCCACCCTCGAAAGTTTAGGCTGTCTTGTCCTATGTTTAGAGGCCATAGGAGTTGTAATTCTAGGCGTTTCGCAGGGCTGAGGTTTGGGAAAGGTTGTGCTGACAGGTACGGGTCTCCAAAGTTCATTCACCAGGAAACGGGCGCGGAGAATGAGCCCATTCAAAAGTCGGCTACGCCAAAGCAGCATAACGGTTTTTCTGACCATTCAACCAAAACTATTCTCCCAGGAAAGCTCAAGGAACGCCTCAGAGATACGTTCCAAATAGGGGGCCCTCGGCAGACCCAGCCCTCCGCCTCCGAGGAGCCACCGGACACCCCCTCTAGCGGAAAAGAGGGCCAAGGCGCGACTTTACCCGCGCTTTTTCTCCCTCACATTTCACTTTGGCTCCAGCACGAGAGTTTTGCTTTTTCTCAAGTCCTTTCTCCCCGCTTTCACGTCACCACACAATTTCTCACACACTTTTCCACATTGTCTTCTCACATCGTTTTCACACCTCCCGCCAACATATTTCTAATGAAACTCCTTTCTGGTGCGTCTCGCCGTCTTTCCAAGCATTATGTAAACGCCGGTCTTTTCATCCATGAGCGCCCGCCCGCGTACCTACCCACGTGTATACACGTGGGGCAAGGATAATAGCACCGCGCACTCAGATGCCTTTCGCCACCGCCAAGCTTTTTGCTTCGCTCTCAGCGGCTCGCGCCGCCCCACACGGCTCTCGTAGGACGCATGCGCCTCTCCCCAGTCAGCCCCGACTTTGCCGGCATCCAATGGTTGGCGAGCAGCAAGAAACAGAGGGAGAGAGAAAGAGTCACACAGCACAGTTACTCCGGGGTCTCTCTCGCGAATAGGCACCTGTCAGGCCAAGGTGTACCGCAGCCGGCTGCTGAAGGGCGGCTGAGCCAAGAACAATAGGGCGCCCCTCGAATTGGAGCAGGGCAGGCAGGAGCAACTGGCAGACAAAACCTTGTGGGCTGTTGCTCCAGCCGCAGTTAGGTTCCTTCGGAGGCTTCGTTGGAGAGGAAGGGAGGGCTATCCGGGTAGCAAAGAGTGGGGCAGGTGGAATAAGGGGACGCCTCGGGACCCTCAGCGGAGGACAAGAGGCAGGAGGAGAAGGGAAAACGGAAAAGGAGGGACGTGAAAAGACTTTCCCCAAAGAGTCGCCAGCGAGGGAGGGGGCCAGGAGCGTCCGGCGGGGTGGCTGTCGGAACAGTTAGACGGCGGAGCGAGAGGAGAGGTGGCGGCTGAACCGGAGGGAGAGAGACCTAGGCAGGCGCCTTCAGTTTGTGCGGCAGAGGTTGCAGTAACTTCTCAGCGCGCGTCTTTTCCCGCCTCTTCGCCGTTTTGTTCTCGCTGGCATTCCGGACTCGGACTCGGATTCGGACCGGGATCGCCGGCAGCCACAATGATGATGATGTCCCTGAACAGCAAGCAGCCCTTCAGCATGACTCATGCCGGCGGCGGCAGCCTTCACGAACCCAAGTACTCGGCCCTGCACTCCGCCTCGCCCTGCAGCTCCTCGGTGGCCGGCGCCGCAGCGGCTTCGGCCAGCTCGCCTAGCAGCAGCACTGCAGGCGGGGGCAGCGGCGGGGGCAGCGGTCGGAATAACTCTTCCAATAGCAATAGCGCCAGCAGCAGCAACAGCAGCACTTCCGAGGCCCTGCGCCGCGCCTGCTTGCCCACCCCGCCGGTAGGTCGCTCTCGGGGCAGGGAAAAGAAGAGCAGCACCAGGAAAGAAGAAATAATGGCTCGATCTCTTCCCGGCCACATGATTATTTCATTGGGAGACGGCAAATCAGTCTGGCACATCCCGCCCTCCCCAAAATCTACAGAGGCTTTCAAGAGAGCTCCCACGAACTAGTATAACCCAGGGTGCTAATCGAGCCAGGCTATTTACAGCTCTGTGTGTGTGAGAGAGAGGGGGGGGAGGGAGGGAGAAAGAGGGAGAGAGAGAAGATTGCTTTGCCTCTGCCGCTGGCCCTTACTTCGTCCTACTGTTACTTGCTTTCTCTTTTCTCCTACTCTTCACTCCCTTTGCTTTCTTTTACCATCTATCTTTCATTAGTGAACCATTCTTTCTTTCCTTGTTCCCACCGTCATCTATCTTCCATTCTCTTTCCTTTCATACCTCCCACTTTATTTCGTTCCTTCCAATTCTCCTCCCTCTCTCCTTCCTTTCCTATTTCTACCACCCTCCATCTCATTTCAACGGGGATAGGGTTGGCTTGGATGGCACTTCAAGGAGAACAGAGTGGAATTCCCTCTTGGCAGCAGTAATGTGTGCCTTTTATTTGCAATTTCAGAGCAACATCTTCGGAGGTCTAGACGAGAGTCTACTAGCCCGCGCAGAAGCCCTGGCTGCAGTAGACATTGTGTCGCCAGGCAAGAGCCATCATCATCACCCACCACATCACAGCCCCTTCAAACCTGACGCCACCTATCACACCATGAACACCATCCCCTGCACCTCGGCTGCATCTTCGTCCTCGGTGCCCATCTCGCACCCTTCTGCCCTGTCTGGCACCCACCACCACCACCACCACCATCACCACCACCAACCTCACCAAGCTCTGGAAGGAGAACTCTTGGAACACATCACACCAGGACTGGCATTGGGTGCCATGACAGGCCCCGATGGGTCAGTGGTTTCAACCCCAGGTCATGCCCCTCATATGGGCAGCATGAATCCAATGCACCAAGCAGCACTCAGCATGGCGCACGCCCATGGGCTACCCTCGCACATGGGCTGCATGAGTGATGTGGATGCAGATCCACGGGATTTGGAAGCCTTTGCAGAACGGTTCAAACAGCGGAGGATCAAACTAGGGGTGACTCAAGCTGATGTGGGGTCAGCCCTGGCCAACCTCAAGATCCCTGGAGTGGGATCCCTAAGTCAAAGCACCATCTGCAGGTTTGAATCTCTCACCTTGTCCCACAACAATATGATTGCTCTCAAACCCATCCTGCAAGCATGGCTGGAAGAAGCAGAGAAATCACACCGGGAGAAGCTCACCAAACCAGAACTCTTCAATGGAGCGGAAAAGAAAAGGAAACGCACTTCAATTGCTGCTCCTGAAAAGAGGTCCCTAGAAGCCTATTTCGCTATCCAACCGAGACCTTCCTCAGAAAAAATTGCAGCCATCGCGGAGAAATTGGACCTCAAGAAGAATGTGGTCCGAGTCTGGTTCTGCAACCAAAGGCAGAAACAGAAGCGGATGAAATACTCTGCTGGGATTTAGCCTTTGGAAATCTTTCTGCTTATGGGGAAGAAATAAATATAAAAAAGACAGAAAAAAACATTTCTATTTCTCTTTCCTGGAAAGAAAGAGGACCAAACTTCAGAAAATGAGTCCGATTGAGATGCGGTTGGACTGTGACTGGACAAAATATCAAGTTTAGAAAGTTGGCAGCAGATTTTATCGGGTTTGCAGGCTCAGACTTAAATTGGCATCAAAAAGAGACTGATTTTTGTGAAGGCAGATAAGAACTCTTTATAAAGGATGGAAGACATATCAAGTAAGAATTGTTTTTATTCTTAAAAGACATCACCTTTGCTGAGATGTAAAAGTACCATTTACAGCTATTTTTCAGGATTTAAAAAAAATTAAGTGATTAGAGAGGCTGAAACTTTAATCTTGATTAGAGAGGCATCTCAAAAGTATTTTGATTTTTTAAAAAATAGATGGCAGTTTCTCTGTCATTAGACAGCATATTATAAATATATATATAGATATATTTTTACTGTGGTTATTATCCATTTCCTTCTCTGAAAAAATGCAGAGGGAAAATTTGATCCTGCTGTGCTTTTAAGAACTTTTAAGAGCTATTATTAGACTACTGCCAAACTCCTGTAAATTATTAATTTATCTCTCTAGTAACTTCATTTTGTGCTCATCCTAATTAATTGCACCTCTTTCATCAAAGGCTTGATTAAAAAAAGTAAAATAAAACAGTATGGTTAATGTAAATTAATTATTTTATGTTGGTTAGTAGAGTTTATGAATTTGCGCTTTTTTCCTTCTTATACAAGACTTCCTCTTGAGCCATTTGTATATGTTCCAAAAATTAAGATATGAGTATTCTTATTTGTGAGGCGTTCTCACTCTATAGTGGCTGTCTTGCATTGTTTGTGTAGTCTGACTCACTTGTCCAAGGAGGTATTTGTTGACTGCGTTACATATTTAATGGGGATTCCCCCATGTAGACTCCACACCCTCCACCACATGCACTACTTTAAAAAAAAGCACTTGAGTAGGTGGCTGTGGTGGCTTTGTTGCTTTGGATTTCCTTTCATTCAAGTATTGTCTATTCTAGATTCCGACACTAGTTCTCGTTGTTCAGATCTCCTAGTTACTCTTTTATTCCCTTTGTTTGCAATAGATTTTCATTATGTTTGAAGATTTTATAGGTAGAAAAGCCAAAACTACATTACAAAGAGTAAAGGAGAGTGAGACAGTGAGTGGACTGAGAGAGACAGTGCACTGTTTGTAAATCCATATTATTTGGTATAATTCTTTTGGGTCTCCCTTCCCCCACCCACAGGTACTTAGATTGTGGTACCATTATGTATTGTAAATGATTCATTTGAGACCGATGCACATACAATTATATTCTTACGGATTTCACTGTATTGCTGTTATGTTTAAAAGTTATTTGAAGTTTTACCTCTGTACATTATAACAATTTGTTTTGTTAATAGAAATTATTATTATGGCAATGTATTAATTTACTCAAAATGTTGTCTAATTGTCTTTCATTAAAAATATTTTAACATTTTATTGACAAACCTATGTTTTTCAGGTTCCTTTTCCAGGTATAGAGTGTATTACTGAACCTGAAGCACTTCCAGAATGAGTATAGATATTCATTTGCATGGCAACAGATTCATAATATTCGTTGTTATTGCTAAATCAGTATGTTAGGATCAGAAAATCAAATTGTGGGAGCTATTCCAGATTTAAATAGGTCTTGGGCTTTTTGCTAATAATTCCTATATAGCAATTTTACTGATCAAACTATTTCAATGTTTTCTTATTTCACATTGAGACAACTAGATCATTCTTATTTATATTTATTGGACAATGCAAGTATTACTTTTTCCTCCTTTATGTGAATCTTTAAGATAGAGTTGATGCTCATGAAGAATACTTTCAAAGTGAGAATTGGTTTAGACGTTTTAGATAATCAGGTTGTAAAACTGCAGAATATAAAATAGGCAAAGGAGCTTAAGGATGTTGGAAGCAAGTTTTTCAATTATCCTATCTTGCTAGCTGGGTTCTGAAAGACAGTAGTAAAAATGGTTGAGTCTCAAGAGTTCAGCACTATTACCTCAGCAACAATCAAAGAAATAGTCAGATTAAAAGATAGATGGAAATCCACAGGAAAGGATGGACAAAAAATGAGGGGGGGATCTGGCTTAGTTACTACGTGTCCATATTTCCTGAAGCAATTTAAATGATTTAAGAACAAGAAAATAAAATTTCTCTCTCCCATATCTAAAGAAATCTGTCCTATAGTAGGAGCTGGCTTGAAATATGTGCTGCTGTGGATTTAAATACATTGACTAGGAGGTAAAACAGACTTGTTCCCAAGCAAGTGGTATTTAAGATGACAATGTTTGAATAGAAAGATCAAATTGTGACCAGAATTTGAAATCAATTGTAAAAGATATTTCTATGGAAAAACTTCCTCAGCCTCCTAATTTAAGGAGGAAAAACCCCTTATTTCAATAAAGAAACACTCAAGGGAAAAGACTGAGAAAAGATAGCAGATTGTTCTTTTTTTTTTTTATCCCACCTCTACCAGACTCCCAAAAGAAAACAGTCCCACTTTTCATCTCCTCTTGTGTTTGATAAATGATCATAAATCGCCTGGATCAAGAGCTAAATTAAAGCTATACCATGAGATAAAAAGGTAGCCCTGAAAGAGTTATATAAATACCCTGCAGAATGTGCTCTTTGTGCTATAAAGAGCTAGCAACCAGAGCAAGGTATACATCTGGCATATTCTCTGTTCTACAGGATCAAACTATGATGTATAAATTGGTAACCCCATTGCCCAAGGAACTAAGGTCTTTCATGTAGCGAGTGTGAATTGAGACAATGGTATGCCGTTTTTCTGTTGGAATTTTTAAAAAGAATCAAAGGAAGTCTGCTTTGAAACGCCACCTAATTGCAGAAATAGAAGTTGTAATCCGTGAGAGAACAGTAACCGAAAAGCCATGTTTGCGACTTTGTGCGTGTATAGGCGCACGAAGGATACGTATGTATATGCGTATGTATTGAAACAGCCTGCTTCCCCTCTTCTTCCACCTTTTATTTTATGTGGCAGCGATTAGAAAGCTACAGCAGCATCTGCGCACAACAGCCAGCGCTTTCAGGACCAAGGACAGCTCCTCGGCGCTCTCTTACTCTCAGTTCAATCTTGCCTGTTTGCCAGAGGCTGTCTCTTCCGGCTCACCGAGGGAGAGAGCGAAGGCGAAGGAAAGGGAATGGGGGAAAAGAGGCAGAATGTAGGGGAAATGGGGATGATAAAGGGGAGGGGGCAAAAAAGGTGAAGGGAACAGCTATTTTCTATAGAGACTCAGCCAACTAAACAGAACAATATTTAATCACACATTTCCCCCAAGTCTATTATAGTTATGCTTATGAAAACCAAATAAGGGGGGGGGGGGTTAATATGAAAAAAACCTATCTAACATATTGACATAAATCCACAGGCTCTGAGCATCTGACTTACGCAAGTTTAAGATAGCACTTTCCCTTCCCTCTCTCCACCCAAGAGTTAATATATGTTTTATTGCTGGGATGATGTCTCAGAGTATGACGGTTCATGATTAGATAGCCAGTAATACTTCCTCTACATCGATTTAGGAACCTATTAATTCAAAGAATGAAATATGTCTCTATCACTTGCTTTTTAGATTGAGATCACTTTTACAACTGGTTAATCACAAACAGTGCAAAAGGATTACTGGTAATTGCTTGATTCTAGGATCCTATTTCCCTAAGAGTAGCGATTCCATGTCTGATAAATTAAATGTAAATTGAAAAAAGCTAATTTCTTAAGGTATACATTATTACAATGTGCTGTAAGACAGTGGTGTTTATACCAAAGGGAAGAGTTAATCAATTCTTTTCAACATTGCCATTTAATATTTATCTGCTTCTGGAGACAGAAATGTTTTTTTGAAGATACTTTGAACAGCCAAATGGGCACAGCTTGAATCTTGCTATTACTTGATGCTGCTTCTCTTTCAACCCAATCAAGTATAAAATCTGTCTAATCCATAAAATATTTGTGAATCCTCAGAACTGTGCAGCTTTTCTGGTCTAGAATCATTAAGATCTGGCTAATTATTCTGAAAATTGGGCAGGGAGATCAAATGCTAAAATTGGGACTTAGTTTACATCTCCTTTTCAGGGGCTCTTGGACAGAAATGTAACTACAATATGAGTTTGCTTCTTTTAAAATAATCGTTGTGATAAACATACACGTACTGGGCTGGGTGTGGGTCCTTTAAAATTATCCCAAAGTAAACAAAACTTCAGTAAAAACTACATCCAGTTAAATTTAGCTGTACATAGAAATTCTGGACAAAATTTATAAGGACATATGTTACAATGGAATTACATTAACAATCATGTATTATTTTGTTCTATCTTGTGGACAAAAAAGGCAAATTACGTTAACTGGTGTTTATATCTGAACTTGAGTAACCAGCAAGGGTCAAAGAACTACATATGCACAGATAGTTCAATAGAGAGTCTAGGCAGCATTTTTTTAACAGTGCAAATCTCATATATATTTATTTAAAGTTACAACCCCCGGTATGCCCAAATATGGGAGGAAGTTCACTACTTCCATTCTCTGTCCATTGGCTCGTCACAAGAGACCATCCAGACAGAAACCCAATATTTTTACTGTTGCCTTTTTGTTACATTTGTGTTGTATTTGTGCTGATATTTATTTATAAATAAATTTTATTTATTTATTTATTTATCAGCACAAATACAACACACACATACACACACACATATATATACATATACATATACATATACATATACATATACATATACATATACAT